GGGGGGGGGGACTCTGGGGAGCGGGTAGGGGCAGCTGGTTTTCAGGGGGTCAGCATTTAGCGGGGATGGGTCACCCTCCCTGGGAGTGGCATGTTCCAATGCTGGAAAGCAGGAGGAAATGCTGTGGGGTGCAGGGGCCCAGGGCTGTGCCATGGTGCTGGGAGCAAGATGTTGCTGCACCCCTGGCCTTGCTCTCCATCTCTCTGATTCTCTTCTGGACCTCTCCTCAGGTACTGATTCCCTTCCCTAGGCCAGAGGAAGGAACCACTTCCACCTACCCCAACCATGTGCTACGGGGCCAGGACTGACCCCTTCTCCCCTTTTCCTTGGCCTAATGCCCCCAACTGCTGCCTGTTTCCCTCTCTCTTCCAATCTGTTTTGCTGGGGGTGCCCGCCTGATCACAACCCATAGGAGCCCCTGGTGCCTGGGGGGTGGGGGCTGGAATGGAGGTGGGGGCTGGAATGGAGGTGCGGGTGGATGGGGGCACAGCACTGCTCTGGCCCAGGCTCCGGCCTGCCTGACGCCTCTCGGGGCGGGGGTGTTGAGCGACTGCAGCACAGTACCCACGTGCCCCAACTCCAGGGGCAGAAGCTGCTATAGAGCCGGCTACACCACCAGCCAAAGGGATGGGGATTGAGGGGGGCGGGGGAATTGTGGGTGATGGAGGTGATGGTAACGACACAACTGAGTGACTATAACGTCCTGGGGAGGGACCACGTAGGCGGGAGGGGCTGGGGGTGTCAGAGCGTGGCGTGACATAGCAAGGTGATACGGGCACGGAGCGGTGCTATGGAAAACATTGCCCTCAGAGTGAGGCTGACAGCCTGATAACCTCATTCAGGGAGGGTGACGCCACAGATCAACTATGATGACATTATCGCGGGGGGTCAAAACGGGCGGGTGCCGAAGAATTCCTTGTCACCCCTCCGCCACAGCCGCTAGAACTACATCTCCCGCAAGCCCCGTCCACCCGCAAGGCATTGTGGGATAGGAATGTGAAGGGGCTTACTTCTGTCTCCCGGCGCCGGCCCTCAACCCGTCCCCTGGTGCCTGGCGCGCGGCCGCGGTGCACGCTGGAACACGCAGTCCGGACGCCCCCGGTTCCCTCCTCGCAACGCGCGCCACCGCGC